TTTACTTCTTTTATTTCACTGAAATTTTCCTACATTGGTCATATTAGTGTGTGTTCATGTAGACAGAAATCTCTTCTGTCTGACTCCAGGCTGTTGAGAAATTATCTTTAATTTCGGTACAGTGAACATAAGTTATTTTTTTAAAACATAACAACGTGGGAACAACATAAGATTATCACTCTTATGCGACCCTGGCAAATGTCAACAGAAAATAAATTCTGAATAGCTTCTAGACCTTCCAAATAGAATTTGTATAGACAGGTAGAACTATGAAATATGAACATACATAGTTTAATTAACTAAGCTTATGAATTAGAAATTAATATTAGACAGAAATACTCTTTTATCTCACCCTTTACCACACTGTTTTCTTTTCTACTCTAACAGCTTTTTCTTCCTTTCTGTGACTGACATGTGTAGGGTGAACAACCACAGACGTCATGCCTTAAATAGCTAAACCAGGCAAGACATTTTGGTTGTATACATTGTGGCCCATTTATCAGGAGCCATGACCTAATGGATTTGTTGTTTTTTGTTTTTTTTTTTTTTTTTTTTTTTTTTTGAGACCTATTTCTTTTCCCAACAACAAGATGTGGAGAATCTCTCCATGGTTATTTCCGAGCACTACTCATTGATTTCATTTATCTGGATCACAGATTTTAATTTTCTGGCCTGGAGTTTATTTTCAACTGGGCACATTTCCCAGGAAATAATGAGGAATTTGCTTAAACACACAGCATCTGTGATTTTTCTTTTGCAATTCACTTATAGGAGAACCCTCTGTTATTAATAGCCTGGGGCAAAGGTTCTATGAATGAAACTGAATGGGTGGCTTTTCACTTGTGTATTTCCTGACAAATGACAGATGGTATAAAATATAAACACCCACTCCCTCAAAAGATGTAACTGGGAAAGCCTTCCAGTAAAGGTAGAAACTAGACCCAGTGTACACGAGGATAACTGACCTGGGATGTAATCACCCTTACAACAAGCAAGGAAACAAGCTCACACCTCTTCCTCTCCATCAACTATATGGGCTCCAGATACCTTTTCAAGTCAAATGTAAAGTCTCTGTAAGTCATGCTTTCTGGAAGATGACCCTGATTCCCACCAGTCTTGCACTTGGCTCTCATATCCAACTCATTCTATCAATGGGCAGTTTCCTCCCAACCTAAGTATTCCAGCCTACATAATAGTAATTCCACACATATATTTAGCACTTCAGAGTCCACAGAGCACTTCTATTTTTCCCTCTCAATCCTTCCTCCCTCCACCTCCGGCTTCCTTTCGGCTTTCTCTGCCTTTTCTTATAATATAGCAAATTACTGCTTCTGGTGACATTCTACCTAAAGCACAGCACAAAGATTATATGGATCACATTCAATCAACCAATTCCCTCCTTCCCCATTACGTAGCCTCTAGGGTGATGTGGGTATCTGCAGGGAAAAATAAATAGGAAATGGAAAATAAGCCTCCATTACTAGATGGCATTATCTGTAAGATGGGCCTGTTTATGGCAATGACAAAGGCCTGAAATAGTATTTTTATAATCATTTTATAGTTAAAAAATAAATGGATGTAGAACAGATCAAATACATTATTCTGAGAAGCTATTATAGAAGTGACAGCACCCTGTATGTAGATTTCTGACATCAGAAGGACAGGAAAGAGAATTTATAATAGCTTTCTAATTTGTCTTCTTTTGAACTCTTTTCTCCCTCCAATCCATGTCATAATGTCATTATCAAGATGATATCTATAAGATACAGATTTGATTTTAAAATATAATTACCCTGATTAAAAACCTTTGCTGGATCCCTATTATCTACCAAAGCAAGTCTGAATTCTTTGGCCTGATTTATAGGTTATTTAAAAAAATATGGTCCATCCTATCTTTCCAAATCCATCTGTATCTTCTGTACCAAAGACTCTATATTGCAGTCGTGTAAAATGACAAAGTAACCAATAGTCCTTGAACTTGCCAGATGCTACCACTCCTCTATGACTTTTCTCTTCCTTTTCCTGCTTACAAAGATTACCTTGTGGCTACTTCTTCACTTGCTGAACTCCTACTCAAACTTCAGAGTACAGCTCAAATGCCCTCCTCTGTAAAAACCTCTTTGGGGATGATGTATTGTTCCCTCCTCCCTGTATCTTTAAGCCTTTAGCTCAAATACAGAACTTACCATAACAAACTTTGATTTATTGTATATGGGTATTTCTTCTTTAATAGCCCATGAAATTCTGGAAGGACAAGACCATATGGTGTTCACTTTTGTAATCTCAGTGCCTAACATGGAGTCTATTAGACAGCCAATGTTCGTTTTATCAATGAATGAATCATTCACTCATAGAATGACTATTCTGTAATGCTGCAAGAAAGAACTACTCTTACCACTATTATCAAAGCCACTGAAAGGATGCTAGTTTAAGCTCTTCCTGAACTTCCCATTTTAAGGCTGCTAATTCTCAGAAAATTGCTCCAACCTACCTATCTCTTTGGAATACTAAGTTTTTGCTATTAGATAATGATTACTAAATTGCCCATCAGCTTTTTTCTTTTGGGAAATCCTTACTTTGTTTTATCATTCTTTTATCAATTCTCTTTCAATGCTTCTATCGATTGGTCAGCAGTTAGTACTCACAAATGGGCAACCCCATCTGGCATGTGGTACTAAATTCGAGGTTCTTTTTTTCCTTCATAGCCTTGGAAGTAGGAAGGCATGAAAGAAATACAGGAAGACGATAAATAAGGACCCACGAATTAGAGAAAGGGGAAATCTCTATGGCACCATTAGAAGGAAAGTGTCATGGACGGGTTGTCAGCTAACAGTTCTAAGGAAAATATATAAAAACAAAACAAAACAAAACAAAACAAGAGGATGCCTATAGGGAACATGGCATAGTTCAATGGGTTTTTTCCTAGGAATGGGAATCCTACTCTTTAAGTCTGTGGTAGAGCTAGTGAGCTGTCTAATGTGATACCCATACTTAGTAAAAGTACCCTGAATTCATTTGGGGCACCAACATGTCCAGCCACAGGCCCCACTGCCAGCCTGCAGTGTGGAGGCTGTGACTGAGGACTGGCCAATAAGATATAAGTGGAAGTGACATGGAGCTTTAGCAAGTCTATGTAACCGTGAAAAGCAATACTCTTTTTCCCTCCTTCCTGTCACATAGAATGCAGATGTAATGAGTGATTGCAAGCAGCCATTTTGGACTCTGAGGATGCATGCTAAAGAATGCTAGAGCCAGAGACAGAAAAGGTCTGGATCCTTGGCACTGAGAGCTACAGAGCCATAGCTGGAGAAACCACCAGAATTGCCTTTCTCTAGACTTCTAACATGAGAGAAATCAACTTGTATCTTGTTTAAGCAACAGTTACTCGGAGTTTTCTGAATTTTCTCCTAATTGATAAACTACTCTTATTGCCAAGGAGTTTAAGATCCCAGAGCAAGAATATTTGGTACAATTTAAAGATTTAATAGAAAGATAGGTATACTTAATTCTGTGTAATTATTGGGTTTATGGACAATTGAGCTACAAGGAAATAATATTTTAGATTCACTAGAGAAGCTAACTAGTTAAAAGCAAAATTATAAAATGTTTATGTGACTATAGAAACATGGAGAAAGATGAAGAATGCATAAGGCTATTAATACTGATTACATATACTTGGATTTTTACTTCTTACAATGATCAAGTAATACTTTGAGATTTGAAACACTAAAATAAAAAACATTTTAGGGGCACCTGGCTCAGCATGTGACTCTTGATCTTGGGATCATGAGTTTGAGCCCCACATTGGGTTTAGAAATTACTTAAAAATAAAATCTTTTAAAAAAACATTTTAAGCGGTAAGTAATAACTGATTAACATTTCTATGAAGGAAAATTATATTGATTTTATCTATATTGCTTTTTTGAAGAGGGAATTTTATAAATCTGTTTTTAGGCCCTTGGCTACCTCGATTCTCATCTCTGACCCACTAACAACTAGATACGGAATCTTGGGAAAGTCATACTCTGGAACTCAAAATGAGGATGTTAGTAAATGAACTTTAAGACTTCTTCTAGCACTACAATTCTGTGAATTTAATCATATATTTGCTTCAGTGGATATCTAATTGTTCCTTCTGCAGTCTGATTTCTATGAATTCAAAAGCTGTTAAAATGAGTTAGTTATGTGGTTCTTGGATGTGAGGATGTCACACAGTCCATCTCTAGAGATTGGGGAACTCTGGTGGGGAACCCCACCTGAAGCCCTTGTCTTAGTAAGGCTAGGTAAGTGCCGTCAATGAGGACTAGGGACTACCCCATTCTCACTGTTGTCCTATATGTCCTCTGAATTAATGACACACTCTCTCCTCACACACCCTCCCAAATAAAAGCAAATAAGGAAAGTGATTGAGGGCTCATGGCCCTATTTCCAACCAGAAACAAAGCTGTTTCCCTGCCCTCTTTCTTGGTGACTGTCCTTCTACTCCTAAGTGGGTTTAAGAGTAGCTACTGCCCAAAAGACAGGTGCAGAGCACCCAGTCGTTACCCCTGGGGCTCCCTCTTTTCCTGTTAAGAGGGGTGCCCTAAAACCAACATCACTGAAACTGTCATGCAGAAAAAGAGGTGGTCTCAGTATCATTTATATGTGCCTTCCTCATGGGGACTTGCATCACACTATAAGCATTTTAAAGATTTATTTATTTGTTTTCAGTTTTTAGAGAGAGAGAGAAGTGGAGGGAGGGGCAGAAGGAGAGGGAGAGGGAGAATCCCAAGCACGCTCCCTGATGTGTGCAGAGCCCAACACGGGGCTCTATCCCACGACCCTGAGTTCATGACCTGAGCTGAAATCAAGAGTCAGATGCCTAACCGACTGTGCCACCCAGGCATCCCCCACATTGTAAGCATTTTAAATAGAGATATTAAGAGTGAAAAAATTAGATCACCAAATACAAATAGATTTCAAATAACCATAAAAGTAAACATCAGTATTAAAGAGCATACCGCAGTACCCTGGGGTTCCACACACTGTCTTCATGAGTACTTGATGTTCCACAATTTTAGAGAGTCCAAAATCAGCTAACAACACAAGAGAAAAATTTAATGAAACAAGTCTTTTCTCAGTTTTTATAAGATGACAGAATACTTCTGTTATTCAAAATAAAACGGACTCATTTGTTTTTGTATCTGATGATTCGATAAAGAAGGGGACCAGTCACCTGGGAGAAGAAACTGAAAAATAATAACAACAGTAATTCGAATCTTGCTTTAAATTGGAGAAAAATATGACTCCCAAATACATTTTGTGCTCTACTCTATAATTCCCAGCTTCTAGCAAATAAGCTATTTGTTCTTGAAGTAACAGTTGCAATAGATATATTTTGTCTAATGTTAACTCTGAGATTTATGAAACAGTAGCTCTAAAGTACAATATAGAATTAGTGATATAGAATTAGCATTCCAAGGGAGAAATCAAAATAAAAAAATTAGGCTTTTGTGAATGCAAAGACATGAACAGAAATATCAAAATGTTCATTCGCTTCAAAATCACGTCATTCCTTAGTGTATCTGATGGATAAGGATTTACTCTCATATGAGGAATATAACACTTTTTTTTTTGCAAAAATTTCTTTATTTATTCCTCAGAATATTACTTAGGTAAAATATTACCCAAAGTTGCTACCATTATGGTCTATTTGCTGGGCTACTTCTCTCTCACTCAGGAAACACCAGGAAACCGTTCAAGGCCATTCTTCAAGAGAGGCAGGTGCAGAATTGATGCCATTTTAGACTTCAAAGATAAACCCACATTTCCACGGAGGTGCTGATCCTTATCAGGGAAAGCAGCAGGAAGTCCTTTAGAAAGAAAGCCTCTCCTGTCTAAATTAGTATCTATCCATCCATTTAAAGAAATTTCTTTAGGGATAAAATCTTTGAAAGTGATGTCAAAGGAAATGGAAGTCTCCCTGCTGTTCACTGCCTTTCAGGAGTGATTACAAGAACAAGCCGGCTGCCTAGCAGGACTTTGGTATTTTTTCTTTGGGTTCTTGCATTCATAAAGCACATTATGTTGTCTGGGCTCTTCCATGATATGTATAACTTAATTTTCAAAGGTGTTAACACGTCTAATGCAGTGAACTTATCAGATTAACATTATACAGGCCAGCACCAAAAGAACAATGTCCTTCAGAGGATTTAACACAGATTCTGCTAAGGAGAATTCCTATAAAATAAGTTCTGTTATTATTACTTGCTAATGAAAAGACAGGGAAAGTAACATTTAATATGCTTTTTTTCTAAAATGCCGATTTAAAGAACTCTTTGAGTAGACTGGAATTTCACAAAGTTCCTTTGTGGTTCTTCAAAATGCTTATTGGGAGAAAAAACAAGGTTCCCAGAGTCAAGGAAGGCTTGGGAAAAGCCTCACAATACACTAATTTAGATGTCAGTTTACACATTAGTGTTTTTAGAGTTCTGAGAAGTCCTGCAGAAATAAAAAATCTTGTTTAAGTTGGCATTTCCCAATTTATCTGACCAACTCAGCACTTCCACAAACCACTCCCACCTACCCGCCCCCCCCCCACAAAGGTCTTCTCCTTA